AAAACACAATGGACCAACACCAGCAGATGACATTGCACCCCAAATCATCACATACCTGTACTGTGGAAACTTAACACTGGACTTCAAGCAACTTGGGCTATGAGCTTCCCCACCCTTCCTCCAGACTCTAGGACCTTGTTTTCCAAATAAAATACAAAACTTGCTCTCATCTCAAAAGAGGACTTTGGACCACTGTGCTGTATGTTGTGGACCCATCAAAATAAAGTGGTAGAAGATAATAAGCAGACAGTCTACTAATACTCTAATGACTGCTAGTTGACATGTAGCTGCAAAGTCACTTACTGTTAGTAGAATGTCTAAATTGGGCTATCAAAATAAAGTGTTACCTAAACCCTTTGTAGTCTCACATAGACAGACCTTCAGACTGACTGCAAACAGTCTGGACTCCATCGTAGCTTTCATTGGTCAAGGAACGCCCAAGAGGCAGTCTGACCAACATGTAAAGCAACCAATCACAGTTTGTTTTTATTTAGGAGCATGACAATATTAAGTCAATGTCTCTATAATAACAGACCGGCAAATTATTCATTCAAGAATGTCATGAAAGTTTACTGTAACAATGGCGCAGAGTCTATGTCGTAAACTTCACATTCTTTTGAAAATTCTGCGTTTAGCTCATCCTGAGAAGCAATTATTATCACAGTTGTAAACACGATGGCTTTCTTCTTCCATGAGGGGATTTGGCATCACGTTGGCTTTGTTTCGCACATGCCTTCCCGAAAATCCTGTTGAATTTAACCAATGAGATGATGACGTCGAAACTCCCAAAGTATTTACCATTTTGTTTGTCATATGCATCAAACATTCAACCAATGGTCCATGGGCATGACATCTGAGGCTGAGACTAAACCCTTTGAGTTGTACTAAGGGTACATGCATGTATTTGACTAGCAGTGTAGCTGATCAGAGAAGTCACAATAGGACGGGGGTGTCCAGTCCTGCTCCTGGAGGGCCACTTTCCTGAAGAGCTTAGCTCTAACACACCTGCCTGGAGGCTTCTAGCGATCCTGAAGACCTTGATTAGCTGGTTCAAATACGCTTGATCAGGGTCAGAGCTAAACTCTGCTGGATAGTGGCCCTCCAGGATCAGGTATGGACACTCCTGCATTAGGATGTTATAGGGGTCTAACATACAGTATGTACTTTCCTCTAGTTCCTACAGCTCCCCCTCAGGGTGTGGAGGTCAAGGCAGTAAACTCAACCACATTTGAATATACCTGGAATCCACCACCTCAACAGTTCATCAATGGCATTAATCAAGGCTACAAGGTAAACTCAATTCTCCTCTACTGGTTTCCATTGAGTCCCTGTTATATACAGAAAATATGATATGTTTTGTATTGGTCTGTGCCTCAGCTGATGGCGTGGCCTGAACGATCTCCAGAGAATGTTATCATCGTGACCATCACCCCTGATTATCATGGGACACGCCACCTCGGTTACATCAGCGGCCTAAAAAAGTTCACCTGGTACTTGACTTCAGTGCTGTGTTTTACCACACCAGGGAATGGTCCCCGCAGTGTCCCCAAACTGGTGCAGACTCACGAGGACAGTAAGTAATAGACTGTTAGTCTGTCAGTCCATACTCCAGGTCATAAGGTTGTGTTTCTGTCTCTCACTGAATCATATTATTTAATAAAATTGCTGCTCAGAATCTGATTGATTGTTTTGTCTGTCTGTCACAAAACAAGCACAATTAAAAATGTGTGTGTGGGGGGGGGAAAAACAGGCAGAACAAATGTGCAAATCATCTGTGAAAACATTTGTACATAAATAGTTATATTTAGTTCAAAAGAACAGTTACATAAAATTGGATTTAGAAATTATTTACCCAAAATTATTCTTGTTCTTCATGAGCAATTCCGGTTGTACCTTTATGACAGATGCTGTTTTAAAGAGAAATTACCCAATGAGCTGTGCTGTTTGACAAAATGCACTGAAAAACATTTCTATAATCATATTTATAGTATATATAGGTGTGTGTTTGTTCTGGTATATATGGTTTATGAGGACACACATGTGTATAATGACGTGGGAACTACAATGTAAACATGGTTTATGAGGACACTTCATGTGTCTCCAAATGGATTAAAAAAACTTACTAAACTGTTGTTGTTGTTTTTTGCCAGTAGTTTTTTGTAACGGGTAGGTGTATGGTTAGAATAAGGGGATAGAATATGCAGTTTGTACAGTACAAAAAACATTGTTTATGGAAATTCCCCATAAAACATGACGTTATGGGGACAAAATGTTCCCACAGAGATGGCAATATCTGAAATCCTTGTCCTTGTGGGGACATTTTTTTGGTCCCCATGAGGAAACAAGCTTATAAATCATACAGAATTAAGTTTTTTTTTTTTATCTAAAAATACAGTTTGTACAATATAAAAACCATTACGCCCAATGGAATGTCCCCATAAAACATGGAAACCCAACTGTGTGTGTGTGCGTGCGTGTGTGCGTGCGTGTGTGTGTGCGTGTGTGTGTGTGTGTGTGTGTGTGATTTTAAAAACACACCAGCTTCAAAATGGAATTTACCACAGTCATGAATATTTACAGTTATTGCAAAACCGATGAAGCACCTGTTGCATGAATTTTTTTAATCCGTTTTAATGGAGGCTTCAAAGCTAATTAAGTTAAACAAAATACTGGTTCGGAACAAAATGTTTATCTTAATTACTGAGAAAGCCAAACCACAAAAAGCTCTTTAGTTGGCAGGAAATATTTAATATATGTAGCTTACTGCCAGCTTTTGGCCTTTACATCAGCATCATGACACAGTGTTCTTGCTCTGAATCTCTACTGGGGTAGTTTGGAGGTGATAAAATACCAAATTACAAAATGTCTTATAAAAGTCACATTAATTAAAGTACTTTTTCAGACTTAAGTACAAATACTGCTCTGTGGGTCAAGCCGATGTAATTATATCAATGTCTTTAGGCATGCGACACTACAAGTGAGAAATTAGTTGGGGTACTTTAGGAGGAATGTTAGTGAGAAAAAAAATGAACATAGAAAAAGCAACAATGTTTGTGTATGTGTTGGGTTTTGATATCATTGGGATCTTTGTTGTGGTTCATTATAAAGGGACTGAATAATGCTTTATTTCACATATTTGATAATTAGAATTTGGATTAGTCTAATCAGCCCAATTAGCTACAATAGAAAGAGCTTAGAAACAAAAGGAAGTATGCAACCAGGAAATGTCTGTGTGTTTAGTTCCAGGCCCTGTTGGTCGCTTGAGCTTTACAGAGATTTTGGACACGTCTCTGAGAGTGAGCTGGGAGGAACCCATGGACAAGAACGGCATCGTTACTGGTGAGTGTTTTTGACCTTTATGCTGCTTTTGTTGATATGAATCTGTAGAAAAACGGGAAATTATGAGCAGACATGTCACAATAATAAAGGAAAGCACTTATATTTTGCAGCAACAAATCTGAATGAGTTTATTTGCACCAGCATTTGCAAAACTCAGTTTTGGGAATGATGAATTGTTCATTAGATTTGTCTTTGCTGTTAAATGAAATCTAATCTGCCCCCCTCTGTTTAAATGTAGCTGAACGTTGCATTATACGTAGCAGGTGAGCCCGTAAAGGAGCTCCATTTTCATTTGCCAACTCTTGGGTGTTCGTATAGCTTTATTAATGGATACACTTCTATTTAACACTTCATTGAGTTTTTGCACAAAGGCAATTATGGCATCGTTGTATGCGTTCAGTTGGCAGAAACAATTTTCGCTCCCTGTTGCACAGCTGTAAAGGATGCTTTTGTGATTGTGTGAGTGTGTGTGTGTGTGTGTGTGTGTGTGTGTGTAGGGGCGCAGATGCATGTGTTTTAGTATTCCGGGAGTGCTATTTATCCATATTGTGCTGGAATCATTACCACAAGGAACGGAGAATGCAAACAGATCAAAATAAAAGAAATGTTAACCGTGATCAAAAGATCTGTAAGCATGAGTTGACAATCCAGCATAAGACAAGAACATGAGCGTGAATCTCACAGAACCTGTTAAGAACACTTCCAGGTCATACTTTACCCCAAAATCAAGAAGATTTTGCTTTTGAAAAATTAAGACTTATTAGAGCAATGAGTATTTTTGCACTGTGAAATTATTTTAAAGAGAATTAAGCACTTTTCCCACCAAGTTATCATTACTGTTATAAATAAGCAAATAAATAAATCATTCTCATTAAAGTAATCCAAAAACATGTATTTTTATTTTAAATAAATGCTGTTCTTTTGAACTTTCTATTCATCAAATAATCCTGAAATAATTTTTTGTTTCCACAAAAATATTAAGCAGCACAAGGATGATGTGACACTGAAAATTCAACTTTGCCATCACAGGAATAAATGGCATAAATAAATGTATTTTATAATATTTTGCAACTGTTTTAAAAACATAAAATATGTTTTTTTAATAATACTGTAAAAATTAGAATCTAGTTAAAATTGATCTTTGAGGGTTATGAAAATTAGATAAAAAAGGATGGCAATGAGAAGACATTACTGTAAATAAATAGTGAGTAGAATATTTCTACAATGTCCAAAAATGGCTGAACCAACAATTGTCATGTAAATAATGTCAAAGCTCAGTCTTAAAAATACATGGGTTTAGTTTATGTATGCAAAATATCATTTATTTTCTTTTTCATTTCTTTGTTTTGGCTTGAAATGTGACCAGAACAACACATTTTCATGAGAGTCACTCATGACATCTCAATAATGCAGAGAAAGAATTAGATGTGGACTAACGAGGCAGCAGTAGATTGATACTAGACATAGATTAAGCCGAGTGAGTTGCGGAACGGCGCTGGATGTAGATCGAGAGTTTGGAGACGAATGAGATCAGACATACATTAGACTAAATAGCTCCTGTCTATATCAATGTACACAGCATTGTTGTTGAATGTTGCCTATGCCTGTTCTCCAGCGAGCTCTCCCAGCGCAAAGCTTGATTTATGAGCGCCTCAATGGAAAAGGACATTCAGCGATTGGAAACAGTGCTGACTCTGGGAGAAAATACTCCCAATAAACAGCAAATTACATAGGATCTCTGCTGGCTATTAGTCTCAGTTAGATGCGGGTTAGGGGGCAGAGCCCTGGGTCTAGACAACTCACTACAGCAGTTCCCCATTTCACCCACCTTGTTTGTTAAAGAGAGATTGTTTATTTCAAGTTCAAGACCTCAGAAAAATTCCTCAAATTGACCCGTTCCCACGGGTTTTGAGCTGTAAAGTGTGTAAAACTCAAATGACTTTTCAAGTTTTAATGAATGTGATGGTGTTTTGCAGGTTACCTGGTATCCTGGGAAGTTCAGGGGAAGAACCAATCGCGAGTGGCACGTACTTTGACCAACTCCACGTTGGACTTCAAGGTCACCGGTCTGACATCCCTCACTACGTACACGCTAGAAGTGGCAGCTATGACGGAGGCGGGCATAGGAACTCTAACTTCCTCCACCATTTCATCTGGAGTGCCACCAGGTCTGTCGTAGCTTTTAAACATAGACAATTAAAAATAAAACCTGCATTACAGGAGCTACTCTTCCTTATTTCTGCATGAATATTGTACACAAGCAATATAAGAATGAGTGATGATCTTTTATGCTGGTCTTTTTTTGCTCAGAAACTGCGACGTTGGTGCCTGTGCGCTGCCATAAATCAAATGTGGCACTGAAGGAGAAATATTCATTTGCACCGGCTTTAGCGCAGGCTTTCTTTCACTGAAAGAAGGCAAATGCTGAACTGGCTGAACGCCAAGCCAAAACCATAATGCCTGCTGATAAATTGCATATTGTGAGACATTAGGGAAACAGACGTCTACACATCTCAGTGGGGATTTCAGGCAGCTGCGAGACTATCGTCTGTTATTTGATTTAATTCCAGTGTAATTTCATCAAAGGTTTCTCGAAGCAAATGAGACTTTTTTATCTCTGCACTTCAAAAGAATCGCAAATCTCTTTTTTTTGACTCAGTCCCTCGTGCAACATGGATCTACACAGTGTTATTAAAAATATTCCGGACAAGATTTCGAAATGTGGAGTGTTATTGACTTTAGAAGGCATACTTGTGGATGTTTTGTGGTTATTGACGGTTGTGATGTGTGGATGTTGTTTAGAAGTGACTTTTAACTTTTGCTTCGTTTCGGTTTCACGCAGAACTTCCCGGGCCTCCATCAAATTTGGTTATTTCCAAGATCAGTTCACGATCTGCTACGCTGAAGTTCCGCGCAGGGGATGATGGGAAAACGACCATCTCCAAGTGGATCGTTGAGGGGCAGGTAAGTCATATTTCAGTTCTTCTTTATCCGATCGTTATCTGCCTACCATCACGCTGGCCTGAAGCTGTACATACTCACAGTGCTCCCTGATGAGTCTTCACTAGCAAATAAAAACATTTTACATGATAATAAAACGTCCCTGCAGTGTTGAGTCAAGTACTTATGATAATTTGTGTAGGCTTTGTCTCCTAATCCTGGGAATGTGCATTCCAGTTATTTTGACAGCTTGATGGATAAATCAGTCGAGTTCTGGAGGATTTAAGGTGGGACAGTGAGGCAAAAAATGTCTGTGCTATTTTTATTTAAAAAAAATTTTTTAAATGGCTGTTGCACTGTATCTCACAAAAAATAAAATTGGTTCTTCTTATCTTGTTGACTTTGTCGATCAACAAGATTTTCGGCTGTTGAAATGTGTCTCAAAAAAATAAATAAAAATAAAATAGTTATTGAGTGGGACTGGAGCAAAAAATATCTGCAATATTTTTATTTGTACAGTAAGTCACTGAACAAAATGTTGACTGTTGTATCATGTCTCGTTAAAAATAATTAATTCATAAATAAGTAAATAAATAAATAAACAAGCAAACTAATCAAGTTCTGAAGGATTTAAGTGGGACAGTGGAGCAAAACATACCTGTTCTATTTCTATCAATATTTAAAAAATGTCTGTTGCATTGTCTCTTACAAAAAAATGAAATGAATGAATGAATGAATCAAACAAACAAATAAAACAAACTAGAGTTCTTCTTCCATCTTGATTGGTCAATTAGTTGTAATGTGTCTCAAATAAAATAAAATAAAAACGTTATTGAGGGTTAAAAGTGGGACAGTGGAGCACACACAAAGGTTTTTGCCTGTTGTGTCATGCTTAAGAAATAAAATAAAATAAAACAGCTTCTTGAGGATTCAGAGTGGGACAGTGGAGCAAAAACGATTACTGCAATATTTTTATTTGTACAAAATTTTTGACTGTTGTATCATGTCTCACTAAAAAAAATTATTAAAAAGTAAATAAACTAACTAATCAAGCTCTTGAGGAATTAAGGTGGGATTGTGGAGCAAGAAAATCTTTGCCATTTTTATTTGTTGGTCAATGTATTTTGACATTTTTATTATGTTATTTTATCATGTTATTTTGTGTCACAATAAAGAATGAATGAATGAATGAAAATGTTTGCTCATAATCTCAGTTTGATTCAGCCAATCTGCTCATCAGTTTATACTTAAGGTTACACCGTGCTTATTTGGTAGTGTTTAAGCACTCAAACCTACATCCAGCTGTCATCACAAGGCTTTAAAAACAGCCAGCATGCAGACTTATCACACATACTCGATTCACTTCCACTCAGCACTTCCATTTCAACCTGAATAACAGCAAGTTCCAGTTGTGATTGCCCTCCATGGCTCAGAGATGTATTGAGAGCGCATCCTCGCCCTTTCCACTTCACCTGCGACTCTTGCAAAAATGATGACAGATTGAATCACATGACTGACTCCTAATTTGTAATCGACATCAACTCTCTGAACTTGACGGCGCCGGGCCGGAGCTTGTGAAAGGAAGCTTCTGCTTTTCATGCGGCGGCACTTGAATTCCAGAGTTGATTGAGGCCAGGCTATCTGCCGCTGCAGAAATCTGTCACCGAGCGAGAGCGAGCCCCTGCATACGCACCAGCTATGAAATACAACGGCAGTCTCCAGCATAAGGTGCCACGCGTCCAACATCTATCACGTTGGCATAAATGCTTACCGCATACAGTACACTCCACTGGTCATAGTAAATCTTCCTGAGTGCTATGAGCTTTGATTGGTTTAGACTTGGCTCGCACAATGTGTTTGAAATGGGGCAGTGGCTGGCACCGTCCTGGACTCAATTGAAAAAGCTTTAACCTGCTCCGCTCTGCATTCCCACTGAAGGCCCGTTCCCTACAAAACACTCTAAGAGCCTTTGGCCTGTGACGTACCAGATATAATGAAGTGCAGTGTGGGGATTTTTCTTCTCCTTTCATTTACTTTGCTGCTTGGACTCTGCACTCGACAAATACTGAGAGATACCGTTCTCAAAAGGGACTGAAAAATGGCTCTTTTCAGATGTTTGGAAATGCCTCATGTAGCCAGACTACTGCCATAAAGTCCACTGTTTATTCTGGTAAAGAATCAACCATCTGGCTGATACATAAAATGACAAACCGCTTTTACTTTGTGACATTTTTAGGGTGTATATCTCATTTACAGACTAAGTCTTATAGATTTTGTAGTGCTCTTGTAGCAGCACTTGAACTTATAAACATGATTTTGTGTTTTGAAATACATTTGAAATAAATTGAAAATATTTCTCTTCAGATTTATTTCCCTGTCATTACTCTATTAGTGGGTAGAAAAAAATGATACTAAGTAAATATCTTCCAGATAATGTTTTAATTGTTTGTTTTGGGTTTAGTACAGTGACAGCCAATTATTTAATTTTGCAAACAACATCTTATCTTTATAATAATATAATAATAATACTGCATCTAAATAATACCAAAATAATTGTCTTTTTCTAAAGCCGTATGACTGTAATAGCAGAGGAATAAATGTGAAGAGTAATATTTTTTATTAATTCAGATGTGTTTGCTTTTCACTATAAATTCAGTTTTTTTTAAAAAATGACTTCATTAAATATATTTAATGCATATTTTAAGTTAGTACATTAACTTTCACCCTTAATATCTGTGTGAATGGGTCTGTTTTATAGAAAATAATATAGATGCCTTCGTTTTTTAAAGGGTCATAAACTGAGAAACCAAAATTCCCTTGATCTTTTGACATGTAAGAGGTCGTTGTGCTATAAAAACTTTCGGTACGTTTCAGAACTCAAAATGTTCTCGTTAGTCTAAAAGCAGCTTATATTGAAGGCAGTCTGCCAAAACCACAGCTTCTGGAATGTTCTACTCTATGATATAAACCCCGCCTCTGCAGAAGAAGATCAACACCTGCTTCTACATCGCTGCCTGTTTAGCCCCGCCCACTGATTCACGCATGTAGTGTTTACAAGAGAGGCGAATGCGCAGGTCTACGCAGAAACCAAACAATACAAATGCTCTGATGATGACAACAAGACGCTGTGCAGTGCCAAGCTGTCTTTGCATTGCCTTCCTTCTGATCCCAACATTAGGAAAGAGTGGATGAACTTGATTTTTAATGAAGATCCAGATCGCATCATTAAGAAATTGGTCCTTTGTTCACTTCATTTTTCCGCGGATTCGTTTACAAACGAGGCACATTTCGACACGAGATTTTCATAAAGATTGAAACTAAAAGACGATTCTGTGCTGACTATATTTGGAGCCGACAGTAATGTCACAACACACAAGTGTGAGTAACTGTTTTCATAACATGATCACTATTGCTTTGTATGTTATTACAGATTGTTTGAAATGTACTGAGTATTTATGCATTTTTAACGTACTGTAAATCACTGCAGCGTCCATCTATGAAGGATGTAGGCAACTTACACAACTCTTAGCCAATCATAGCTGTGGGCGTTTACTTCTGTTCTGAGTCTACAATCTGCCACACCTGTTCAAACAGAGCGTTCTGATGAGGGGGGTTAAAACAGGACAGAAAATAGTTACTTCTGAATGATTGTTTTTTGATGTGAAAATCTTGATAACATTATAAGTGGTCCTCAGAGAACAGTACAAAATAATAAAAAAGGCAGTTCATGACCCCTTTAATACATCCCTCACGAGGGGATCATCATATGTAGGGGTCGTTGGTATTGTTGACACAGACTGTAAGAGCAGGGCTCTCTGTCTTTAGGTTGGCAGTATCGGTGAAGAGGAAGAGTGGAAGGTGTTGTACGAGAAAGAGAATGACCCTGAAGCTCAGGTGCTGGAGGTGCCCAATCTCACACCGTTCACACACTACAGGTCAGCGCTGTTTCACTACAAACACACATTAACTGCATTAACACAGAAATTGCCATGTAAACAGCATTTTCATTTACTTTAATCTGAATAAATACACATTTTAAGTGAGCCTAATCAAATGAAGAAAAATGTAGATTACTCCAATTACAGTTGCATTACTGCAGACACGTATACACCTTAATCAGATTATGATTGTGTGCCTGCATAAACAAATCGAACGGTTCACAGTTCAAGTCAGCACACTATGGCAATGTTTTCGCTTCTGTGTTTATGCCTCTGATCTTGTTATTTTCTGCTTCTTTCCCTGAGGATGCCGTTAATTCATTCCTTTCTTCTTTCTTGTTCTTTCTGATCTTGGCATCTTTGTCTTATGCTAAAAAAAAAGACAATTGAACCTAGATTTGCTACAGAATTGCTGAGACATAGTGTGTGCATGAAATCTATTTACACAGAGAAAACACTTTATTTTATGCATGGACAGAATTCACTACACACTGCAAGTTCTGCGAGTGACGGTCCCCTCTGAATGATCGCTCTGTGTGTGTGTACAGAATACAACAGTGAAAAATACCTCTAGAACTTGTGATGGTTGACATAGTGATAACCATAGCTGCAATATAGCATATGGCATCTTGTGGATATAAATAACAAACATGGACGCCAACCTGTTTGGTGTTGATTCTGCCAAAATAAATAATATAGACTAGAGCTAAAATAGTACCAAAATGTATATATTTGCGAAATGTGATTCAAGTTTGTTTGCACATTTCTGAATGATTATATATATACAGTGGGTACGGAAAGTATTCAGACCCCCTTAAATTTTTCACTCTTTGTTATATTGCAGCCATTTGCTAAAATCATTTAAGTAATTTTTTTTTCCTCATTAATGTACACACAGCACCCCATATTGACAGAAAAACACAGAATTGTTGACATTTTTGCAGATTTATTAAAAAAGAAAAACTGAAATATCACATGGTCCTAAATATTCAGACCCTTTGCTCAGTATTTAGTAGAAGCACCCTTTTGATCGAATAATTGGCTGTTGATTAGCTGATTGGCATGTCACCATATTCTAATTTGTTGAGATAGTGAATTGGTAGGTTTTTGTTAAATGTGAGCCAAAATCATCACAATTACATTCTAATTTGACGGGCTCGGGTCGGACTCGGGCCAATAATTCTGATGAGCTGTTGGACACGGGCCGGGCTAGGGCCTGAGCGTCTCAGGCCAGGGCCGTGCTAGGGCCTATATTTGAGGCCCGTGCAGGGCTCTACTTTGAATCTTCATTTGGGGAATTTTCTCAAAAAATATGAATATATGGAATTAATTGTGCTTTATTTGAATAATCAGGTAATATAATTTATTTAATTAAATCTTTTAATCTATTGACATCCCTTATTTCAAATTCTGTATGCCAGAATTTGCCACAAATCTACTATTCACCATATAAAAATTAGATTTTGTAAAATTGTACCTATGTACCGTTCGATACATTTGTCACACGTAAACTGTTTAATTTGAATATTGTCTTATTTACGGTGCGTCAATAATCAGACTATTTCATTTGGTGAGATATTGCTGTTGTCTAAACAGGTTTAATGTCTGACTTCATCCGTTTGTTTCAGACAGCTTGAATCATCTCTGAGCTACATGATGAACTGCTTGCCTCCATGTTTTTCTCTACCCTGCAATTTATGTCAGATCTTATGGATGTTATCGCAGCCTCTCCATTTGTTCTGCTCACTGATAAACTTTGATTTTATGGTAATTTGTGCAATTATAAAGTGAACTGCAGCGAGCACATGCCCCACACAGGGTTCCTCACAAACTCTATACTGCCATATACTTTCCCACTGGAAAGTCTGACCAGTGTTAAGTTTTAGCGAAGTGACTGATTAACTTGGTGGTTACAGGTTCCGAATGCGTCAGGTGAATATCATGGGCCCAAGTCCGGTGAGCGTGCCGTCCCGTGTAATTCAAACCCTGCAGGCTCCTCCAGACAAGGCGCCCAGCAGTGTGACGGTGCGCACTGCCAGTGAGACCAGCCTCTGGCTACGCTGGGTGGTAAGTGCCATTGTTATTAAAAATCTGGGCTGTAGATTGTAAGTTCAAACCTCCATAAGGGAATTTATCACCATTCATTGTTACAGTATCATCATTGTGTCCCTGAGTAAACAACTTAACCTCTGTTTGCTCCAGAGGGCTGTATAGTAAAACTATACTCATCAAATGAAGTGTTTCATTAACGTCTTTGACTTTTATCAATCAAATTGTTGCTATTATATAAGACATTTCAAAGCTTAATAGATATAATTCCGCAGATTCGTATTATCTCTGAGAAATATGAAGTAAGACAAGTTCATTCAGTAATTCAGGGTCTTGCTTCATTTTTTGTTTCTTAATAAAAAAAGGATTCAAGGAAACTTATTATATTGTAACTTTCAGTACTAGTGTTCTGACACATGGATACAAGCTAGGATGTTGAAAGCAGGGTGTTTTTAGACATCTGTTGATTTTCACCTGATATAAAGACTGCTGACATGTGAGAGCTACTGCCTAAATTGAGTTTCTCAAATTGAAGCTCTTTACCTGTCAAATTAAAAGCACATGAGAGCTGATGTTTTGCCAGTTTGTGACATCTCACTTACCTTTTGGCACCCAATCAAAATCGTTCAGTTGATATTTTTTTGGGGGCACGTAAATGATGTAGCATTATTAAATATGCGTATTAAATATAAATATGAGATTTATAGGAGCATGTATATTTAATTGGGTTAGGCTGAGCTCAGCTGGCTTGCTTTAGCAATGTTCAGGACTCTGCTGAGACTGTGTTATAGAGGCTGCACTGTTTATTTTTACACTGTTTTTTTCTTTGGTTTTGCCTAATGAAAAAAGTTTAAAAAATTTAGTCTGTATTTCTTCATGTTCTTTATTTGTAGTCCATTTTATCCTGAAGGGCATATAGTTTTAGTCAAGGAAAATAATATTTTGAAGGTTGAAGATACTGCTCAGAATCAGTGTTAATTTTGACAGGCATTTTTTTATTTAGTCTTAGTCTTTATCTTGCGACGAAAATGCTTAATAGTCTAAGTCACATTTTAGTCATTTGAGAGTCTTTCATAGTTTTAGTCGACGAAAAGTCATTGCATTTTTGTCAGCTTTTAGACATTACTTTTAGTCAAACTGCAGTTACCAACATTTATTTTGGTACCTATTTTATATGTAGTCTTCAAACTAAAATAATCATTCATTCTTCTCTCTTTAGACCAAATCAATTAAGCTTATGAGAAATCTGAATCAAGGATTGAATTTGGAAAAACTTGAATAAATGACGACAATTTTCATTTTTGGGTGAACTATCCCTTTAACAGTAGTGAAAATGCAGCAACTTATAAAAATTATAGTTGTTTATATATAATATATATATATAATTTATAATTTTTGAAAAAGAAGCAGAATAAGACAAATATGAAAGAGATACAAATTAAACTAATTTTTCAGATACAGTAGGTTTACTTAACATATTTATTTAACATCTTTTGTTGGTTAACATTAATGACACGGATAGGTACTTAATTAATTAGGAATGCTGTCCCTTTAAGACGGAAGGCATGCATGTAATACTGACACACATTCAGTTTTCACCCACCTGTTTACGTTCACTTAATCCATAACCGACTGTACTTACGTCAGATACTCTACACGATGGACATTTGGACTCCTGCGTGTGTATTTGAGCACTGAGAACTGATCGCACGAGATCGAGAGAGAGCACTTCTATCAGCGCGATTCCGCCTATCCAACCAACTTTAAGTTAATCGACAACGAATTGTGACTCCCGGGGAAAGCAGGATGTCTGGTCACCTTATCCCTACCCCTTCGGGTGCTGAGGCCATTGTTTCAGATCGCTAGTTTGCATTTTGGGAGCCTATCCATCCACTGCTGCTGCCATACTGAGACTAGATATGCAAACGCCCCTTATCCGATTGCAATCCAATGACAGGGACGCACATTTTGAAGGACAAGACAGTAGCCTATAGGATGTATTTTGAATGTGAAACCAGTAGTTTTCAAATAATATTATAGTCCCGTCTTATTCCCGTCTTATTCTTATTCTTATAGTTCTCGTCTTATTAATGAAGACGCGGCATTAAATTTCGTCATAATTTTTATCATCAGATATTAGTTTTAGCTCGTCAACGTCTGGTCTTATTCACAAAAAAAAAGTTTGGTAACGAATATTTTTCGTCTTTGTTGACAAAATTAACACTGCTCAGAATGATTTAAAAAAGTGTGTCAATATTCAAAGTTTTATAACATACACTACTGTTCAAAAGTTGGGGTCTGTATTGGAGGCTGCATATATTTGATCAAAAATACAGTAAAACAGTAATTTTGTGAAGGGTTTTTTTTTTTTGTTTTTTTTAAATAAGTAGCTTGTAAAATGTTGTATGTTGTGAATTTCAGCATCATTACTCCAGTCTTCAGTGTCACATGATCCTTCAGAAATCATTCTAATATACTGATTTGCTGCTCAAGAAACATTCATGATTATTATCAATGTTGAAAACAGCTGTGCTGTTTATTATTTGTATGGAAACTGATAAATTTTTTTCAGGATTCTTTAATGATTAAAATGTTCAAAAAATGTATTTATTTGAAATAGAAATCTTAATAAATGTCGACTTATTTAAGACATAATAAATGTCTTTACTGTCACTTTACATCAAATTAATGTGTTCTCATTGAATAAAATTATTAATTAAAAAAAAACCTTTATGACCCCAAACTTTTGACTGGCAGTGTAGTATAAAATTACCATAACAACATAAACATTTATTAACTGAAATATGTATGAATATACAAAAGATTTGTTGCTAAAACCAAAATACATCTTGTGAAAACTCTTCATTCGCGTCACCATGTGTCAAAAGGTGTATCATTACCTTCATGAATACAGATAATTAATCTTATATAAGTGGTTCCGTATTGAATTATTTAAATAAATTCTTTCCAGATTTTTCCACTGCAAAAGACGTTGTTAGTTCATTATTAATGTCTTGCTGTCTGTTTTTTCCTTGTCATTTAGCATCTACTGCATGTATTCATTAAAATTTACCTTTTTTTCCTCATCTTCATTACCGCTGATGAAATGAAAACACTCTATGTCAAGGAACATCTCTGTCAGTAATTCTGTTGACTAATAACAAGAGTGATGTTTCCCTGCAGCCACTGCCAGAGACCGAGTACAATGGAAACCCAGAGAGCGTGGGCTACAGGGTCAGAGTGTTGCGAGTGGACCTGCGGGGTGAGGCCAGCACACGATTGGTGAATGACAGGCTGGAGAGGGAGATCACCCTGGAGGGTCTGGAGGAGTGGACCGAATACCAGCTACAGATCCAGGCCTTTAATTCCATAGGCCCCGGGCCCTGGAGTGAGCCCGTGAAGGGACGCACGCGTGAGTCAGGTGAGGACACCCAGTCAGATACTAATATGGGCTGATGAGCCCAGGGTTGGGCAAAGATACATCAAAATGTATTTTGAAATAAAATACCAAATACCTTAATTTTAAGTGTATCAAAATAAACTACAAAATACAGCAGCCACACCAAATATCAAAATAAACTGCTGTATTTTTGTATTTTAAAAATACAAAAAAATACTTTTACAAGGGAGCATGAAATTTCTTCACAAACCTTCCATCAATTGGCCTATTTGATCTATCTCTTCACCAATACACTGATGTTTGGGAACAATGTTTGGTAGCAACAGCTTTCAAAAGCTTTCAGCAGTCTCTGCCCGAGTCATGCAATAAATCTGACATATGCAACCAGTTAACAGATCAAATATTCACATATCCCTGTGATCTCCCAGATGAAGGTTAGTTTTAAAGTAACCAACAGTTTAATGTTTAACAGTTTGCGAATGACTCATAATTGTATCCTAGTTTAGTTACATGGTGTTTGGTAACAAAGGGCCTACTTTGCATCAGCAGCACTGACTCAATGACAAACAAGTAATTCATAAGAAGACAACTGATGGCACCTGTATTCATAGCAACTAGTTTCTAACTACTTAATCATTTGATCGTTAGTCATAAATATAATAATATATTATGTGTCAGGCAGTCATTCATGCAATGGTATGTAAAATCATGATCCTATTTAAACAGCTA